TAAAACTTTATGCATCCACACAAAAACAACTTCATCAACTCCTACAAATCACACATTCATACACTAAGGACATACAAATGGAGTTTGGCTTAGACAAATGCAAAAAACTTCACATAGAAAAAGGAATCCTGAAGAAAGAAGATTTTGCACTTGGAAATGGAGACGTTATTGAATCCATGGAAGAGGGCGAGTTCTACAAGTACTTAGGATTCCAACAGGCCAAACTAACAGAACATACACAAATAAAGCAACGATTAATTAAAGAATACCAAAGTAGGTTAAACGCTATACTTAGAACACAGTTAAATGCAAAACACACAGTTAAAGCAATAAACACATATGTCATCCCAGTACTCACATACTCTTTTGGAGTTATACATTGGACTCACACAGATCTCGAGCAACTCCAAAGGAAAACAAGAACAACACTTACTAAGCATAAACAACATCATCCTAAATCCGCCACAGAAAGATTAACCCTTCCACGTAAAGAAGGCGGACGTGGCCTGATTGACATAGTTAACCTTCACTACAAACAAATACAGTCACTGCGAGAGTTTTTCTACAAGAAACAAGAAACATCACAGTTACATAAAGCAGTAACTCTAGCAGACTCAAATAACACACCATTAAACTTACACTCACAACATACAGACATGACACAACATATAAAAAGCATAGACAACATTAAGCAATCATGGGCTCAAAAGGCTCTCCATGGCAGGCATCCTTACGACCTGGCCCAGGATTTTGTTGACAAAACTGCGTCAAACAGCTGGTTAGATCGGGGATGCCTCTTTGGGGAGACGGAAGGATTCATGATTGCCATACAGGATCAGGTCATAAATACTAAAAACTACAGAAAACACATACTCAAAGATACAACACTCACAAATGACACATGCAGAAAATGTCACATCATGCCAGAAACTATACAACACATCACTTCTGGTTGCAAGCTCTTGGCACAGACAGATTACTTACATAGACACAATCAAGTAGCAAATATAATACACCAAGAGCTTGCAAAGAAACACAAATTGGCAGACATCCACGAACCATACTACAAGTATATTCCACAGACAGTATTGGAAAATAACACGCACAAAATGTATTACGACAGAGCCATAATCACAGATAAAACAATTTACCACAACAGACCAGACATCACACTCATTGACAAACACAATAAAATCACATACATTATAGACATAGCCATTCCAAACACTCACAATGTACAAAACACATGCACTGAAAAAATTAGCAAGTACACAGAACTCGCCCAGAAATCAGACATCTGTGGAGGATGGGGTGCTTATTGTACCTGTCGTTCTCTCCTGTACAGGTGTGATATCACACACGCTACACAAAAGCCTGGGAACATTACAATTGAGTAGAAATACATACATCACACTACAGAAGGCCACTATATTGAATACATGCCACATTGTTAGGAAATTCCTGAATACAGACACACACACTGACACACTTATTTAATTTTAGTTTTGTTTTGGTTGCTATGCCTTTACTCTGGTCCAGCATAGTACACAGCCACCGGTGTGAACCGAGTATAACTTACAAAACATAACAACAATAATAACAATAATAATTATTATGTACCATATTTCTTTGATTCTAAGATGGCACAATTTCAGATATAAATATTTCTGAAAACTGGGCACATCTTAGAATTGATGGTGCCTTAGAATAAAAAGTTTTTAAAATTTTTCCTCAGTTTGTATGTGGCACCAGCACCACACATTCTGTTTTTACACAGAAATTTCACCTTCTTGTTTGATCTTCATTGCATTCTCAAATTACAATGGAGAACAATTTGGCATGGGCATTTTCTTGCTTAACACAGTATAGTCATACACCATAAATTATCATCTTCAAAATTATCAAAGAACCTTTAAAATATTAATAATCCTGTTAAAGTCATCATGACAATACCTGGTTTTACTTCATTTGGCATCAAAGAAGCAGCTAACTCCATAATTACCAAATCTTACTTCAATTGAGCATTTGTGGAATGAACGAGCATCAGACAGTTGGATGCACCAAGAGTTGAAGGATGCAATGAATTGCATCCTTCCAAGAATTGAAGATTGAATTTTCTGCATTTGGGCTAATATTCCCCAAGACATTTATTGGTTTCCAATAGAGCCCATATCAACAAAAACTGAAGCATCATTATGTAAAAAAGGTGGCTCGACAGCATACTAACAAACTGGTTATAATAATTTGGTCAGATTTTTCAATCTTAACACAATATAGTCATATACCGTACATTATCATCTTCAGAATTATCAAAGAACCTTTAATATATATTTAATAACCACAAAGGGAACTTTAAACTGTCTGATGCTCATTCATTCCATAAATGCTCAATTGAAGTAAGATTTAGTAATTAAAGAGTTAGCTGCTTCTTTAATGCCAACTGAAGTAAAACCAGATGTTGCTATGATGACTTTAACAGGATTATTAATATATTTTAAAGGTTCTTTGATAATTCGGAAAATGATAATTTATGGTGTATGACTATACTGTGTTAAGATTGATTGAATAACTTGGCCAAATTATTATAACCAGTTTGTTAGTATGTTGTCGAGCTACCTTTTACCCATAATGTTTTCTTTCACTTTCCAAATATGAAGTATCAGAATTGGTACAACATACCATAAGAGAAAGTCTGATTTAGAACAAAGGAGAAGCTGGGGTGCCAGGATTCTATGATGACACCACAATATTGTTTATGGAGGCTAATCTGTCCTTCCAGGTAAGATGATTGCTTTATTTGGAACAGGTAGTGAAATACATTACTCCTAGGACATGACATCATTTCCTTTCCGAAGAAATGTTTGGCATTGTCCATTAGTAATTGTCAATTACTAATGGACAATGTCCTAAGCACATCTTTTAATGTCACATGGAAATAGTTTCAAGGAAAAGTCAATGAAACATGGTGCTCATACATGTGTGTCTTTTGGAAATTTCTCTTGAAGTTAGTGTTATTTCATTATAGTGGAGTCACTCAGCAACAGTTAGAAATTTTTGGTTATATCTTTGCTCTTATCTCACATTAAAATGTAAAAAATATTACACTATGATACTGCATTGAAATGAAAAGTTATTGTGTATGCAGAAAAATATGGAAATAGAGTATTTAGTTGTTACTTTGCACAAAAATATGGAATGGCAATCATTTCTCTAATGATGAATATTTACTTTGCTAATGTTAAAATGTTAACCTGTAGCTCTATGGCCATGGCTACTGCAACAAACTCATGCATCATAATGGGCTATCATTAATTAAGGTATCAAACATCTGTCTGTCAAAGAATTTCTGCAGATTTTCACCAGAAGCTGATTAACTTTCAATGATATGTGAAAGAATTAAGGAAAAAAAAGGAAATTAAGAGTTTAGTCAAATTGGAAATGTTGATGAAATTGTAGTATCTCAGATATATTGGAATATATCGAGCTTACATAAGGGGTAATAAATTGAAGACTTTACAAAAATATAATGAGAAAGTTGACAGACATGTTTAATAACCACAAAGGAAAACATAATGAATTAACATTATAACCGACACCCACTTCATTGCCGCGCTTAATTGACTAACATTTGGTTGAGGTGACTCCGACATAAATGTTAATTGCACCCGTGATGATGTGTATATACATGTACCACGTTTAGACTACTTATACCCCGTGTAGGAACACTCCTCTTGGCACTGATTCTGGGGTCTTACTCTTCTGGTGATTCTCTTCCTTGCAACCCCTCTATTCAAACCCATGTGTTTGTATAAAGTCACAACTTTTTATTTAAAATAATAGTCACGTTAGGTTCCATTAATGCGTATCTATTCACCTTATCATCCTCCATGCTGATCTATCTGCGGTCTCTTGTTGATGGAATCGGATTACCTTTCCTTAAGAGACATACAATCTTTCCTTTGTCCTAACTGAGGCTCACCATGGCTCCACACTCACTTGTTTCATCCCGAAGTCCTTCCGAAGGGTAACATCCAAGGAGCAAGAAGGAGAAGAGAAAAAAAAAAAGGTTCTCCGACAGGTCGAACCTTTACTTTTATACCTCCCACCATCACGGAAGGGTTACCTGTCACATGACATGGCAGTCAACCAACTAGCAGTGTTTTCATCATATGACCCAGAATAGGGTGGTATGGGACAAGTCTAAAAACACATGCATAACACAACTCAAACCCCAACACAAACTGAACAGAATTACAATTACACACAATAAAGATAACAAATTTAGGAAGTCTCTTCTCAAGTATAGTAGCGCAGCACTACAAAATCCAGTTTTCTTTGAAATGCCTTGAAATTATGTCATAAATGCTAAAGATGATAAAGAAATCAAGGTTATAAGCATAGACTATGAAAAGTAGCATATCACTGTGATGCTATGTATCACTGCTGATGATTGAAAGTTGCCACCATATTTAATTTTAAATCAAAAAACCATACCAAAAAATGAAATTTTTCCTAAAAATGTTATTGTATATGCACCAAAAAAAAAAAAAAATGAATGATGACAGAGCATATGGAAGATTAGCTAAATGTTGTATGTAATAGACGTCCTGGAAGTCTTAATAACCTGCTTAACATACTAATATTTGATACATTTTGTGGACATTTTGTAAGATTTTATTTTCTCAATGCAAAGTTGAGTCAGCATCAAAATCCAATATACACAATATTCAGGGGGTATTCAAATATTACAGCTTTAGGTTTCCATTAAAATCAGTCTTTTTGTCTTTTCATGACAATTTCTATTAGTCTAATCCAGGGGTGAGCAACCTTTTTAATCAACGGGCCAATTTAAATTTTAAAATTTTTTGGCGGGTCGCACATAAAGTAACACTTATTAATAATTTACAAAACTTTATTTATAATAAACATTAGAATAAAAAAATATAAAATTTAAAAAAAAGTAAAGATTTCATATACAAATTTTAATGCAAAATAAAAACAAACAAGAAAAGAACAGAAAAACGAATTTACTTGAAATTTTTAATGAGAATTTTGGCACTGTTTTTTGACACAAGCTGATCAATATCAACCGGAATTGATGAGGTAGTTACACGTACGCAGCTTTCTAATCGTGCATCACTCAGTCTTGATCGGTGGTCATTTTTGATTAATTTCATGGTTGAAAATAATTGTTCGCAAACATACGTACTTCCGAACAGAGACATCATTTGCTTTGCATTTTTCGTCAAAAGCGGAAATTTCTCAGGGCTCGCATAAGATTTATAAAAATTTTCGATGTTTACTGAGAAAAATACATTTCTTAAATCGGTATTATTCTGCATGTCAATCACTTCCATTTGAAAGTCTTCGGGAACTGTATCCACATCGATATTAAATGGCGAGGAAAACATTTTCATGGAAACCGCTGTCTTCTCAGCTTTGAACATTTGGAATCGTAATTGAAATTCGTTGATTAAAATGTCTATATATTGTGCGTATTTTTGAGAAGTAGTAACGTTTTCTTTTTCTAAATGTGGAAAGTGAGACACATTATTCTGCAAAAGATGCTGTTTCCACAATTTTAATTTGCGCTCAAAGCCCTGAATTTTATCATACAAATTGTGAATAAACTGTCCTTTGCCATGAAGTTCCACATTAAGATCATTGAGATGCTGAGTCATGTCGATAAGAAACCCAAAATTTCACATCCATTCTTTATTACCAAAATGAGGAAAGGCATATCCCTTCATATCCAAGAACAATTGTATTTCGCTTTTTAAGTTGTATACTCTTTTTATCATTGCACCTCTACTAAGCCAACGTACAGTACTTTGGTATTAAAAACCACGTCGCCATATTCAGTTTCTAAATCTTTCAGGAATTCTTTAAACTCACGGTGATTTAACGCGCGTGACTTTATAAAATTGATTAGTTTAATTATTGGTACTGTGACATTTGGCAAACTCAATCTTTTCGCACAAATTTTCCTGGTGAATTATGCAGTGGTTAACGAATATTTCCCTTCCTGTGACCTTCTTAATGTCTTGAAATAGCCTTCCCGATATTCCTACCTACATGCTTGACATTGCTCATGCTCCATCTGTCGATATACCAATAATCTGTTCTAATGAAATTGAAAAATTTTCCAACACAGACTTTAGTTCATCGTACAGGTCTTTGCCGGTTGTAGTCCCTTGCATTGGAATCAGTGAACACAATTCTTCAGTAATATTAAATTTGGTGTCAATACCATGTAAAAATATAGCCAGTTGTGCCATATCACTAATATCGCAACTCTCATCAAGTGCCAAAGAACAGTATTCGAATTTTGCAATGCGTTCACGAAGCGTTGTTGCTATGTTCTCGGACAAGTCTTCAATTCTCCTTGCAATGGTGAATCTTGATAAACTAATGTTTGAAATATTTATTTTATCAGGAAATGCTATTTCTGCAACAGCAGTCAGACATTCTTTTATCATCTCTCCATCCGCAAAGGATTTCATTTTTTTGCCAGTATTTGACTGACAACAAAACTAGCCTTTACTGCTGTATTTGATAAAATAGCTTGATTTTTAAAAATAGCCTGTTGTTTTCCCAAGTTTTTCTCCATTTGAATAAACTTATCTATCCGGAGTTGTCCTGTTAAGTTTTTATATTGTTGTTCAGGTTTTGTATCGTAATGCCTTTTTATGTTATATTCTTTTAATGTCAACACAGTCTCTGAGCATATTAAACATACAGCTTTATCTTCGATGAAAGTGAAAAAAATAATCAAATTTCCACTTTTCTTGGAAATGCCTGTGCTCATCCGCAACCTTCCGTTTTTTTGTTTGCTTTTCCGACATGCTATTATGGATTAAAAATTTGAAAGTTAAAAAAATTTGTAGGAAAACTTAATTTTGAATAAAAAACTCTAATATTACCTTTTTGACAATAATATTGCACTCACGCCTTTCAAGAAACACAAGAATTGCTAAAATTGCTAGTTAACAGCTTACCAGTCTGACTGATTGTGTGACAGAAGCAAACACAAACAAGCACAGACGCGGCGCGTTCATATTGCATGTTTGAACAAGTCACCGACAAGTGTGTATCTCGTCACAAAAAATCACGCAGACGCGGCGCGTTCGTATTGCATGTTTGAACAAGTCGCCGACAAGTGAGTAACTCGTCACAAAAAGTTGTTTCGGTTTAGTATGTACTACCAATTTATTATAATTAATTTTATAACAATATATTGATGGGAGAAAGTCGATAAAATAAATTCAATTTTAAAAATGCTTGGCGGGCCGCATAAACATGTTTAACGGGCCGCAAGCGGCCCGCGGGCTGCGTGTTGCTCATCCCTGGTCTAATCCATGAATTTTCTTACCAGATAATCCTACTGTCAGTAGACAATCAAAAATACAGGGGAGAGGAGGTGCTAGTATATGAGAAGTTCCTCAAATTTTTGCATTGCATAATCGCTGTCTTTTCCTGGTCGTCTTGTTGATTGGAGCAGAGTCTGTTGACTTTCATAACTCTTCTTTGCACAACCTGTTCTCACTGGTGACCTTTGTGATGGCACCAAAAATAAGAGAGTTGCTCTCTCAACCACAAGTCACTATATATCTTCTCCTGCTCTCCTGTTGGGTTTATTGCCCCTTCGAGCAATAATGGAACATTTTAGAAGCTTATAAACAAAGACTTTGTAACTGACAATTTAATTTTATATACAGAAATGACAAGCAATTGTCACAATTTGTCCAAACAGGTCAAAAATAAAATTATAGTCACTGATGCAGGTGCACATCATTATAGGTTTAAATTCAAAAGAAAATTAGATCTAACACATCGGAAATGGAAATAGAACGGAAACACACCAAAAAAGGTTCTCTAATAGAATTCCATCTGAAGAAAGTCCTAAGATGGACCAAAAATGTTCATGGTATGTTATAACTTTTGCAAAGCTTCATAAGGTTAGTGAGATATATATATCAACATTTTGTTTTTTAAGATGGATTTTATTAAAAATAAAATTGTGCAAAAATGCAGTGAGATGGTTGTGATTCTTGGTGGCATGACTAACCAACTTCAACCACTGGATGTTTCAGTCAACAAACCATTTTAGTATTATTTCAGAAAGGAATATGAATCCTGGCTGTTGACACCTTCCAGAAAAATTAAGAAAGCACCAGCATCAAAATTGGCAGAATGGGTATCAACAGCTTGGAAACTAATTCCAGAAAAAATAGTGTAGTACTCATTTAAAAATGTTGCATCACTAATGCTTTTGATAGCTCAGAAGACAATGTATTATGTGGGAGAATGAAGATAAAGACACCTCAGAAAAATCAGACTATGAATATAAAGTAGATTCTGATATTGATTCAGGAGGAAGGGATGAAAAAATACCTATTGATAAATAAGTATGAATTGATTAAACAGTGGTTCCACCTTTAAATAAAACAACTGAGAACTGACTGATAGTGAAAAACTTTTTAGTGCTGAGTTTGTTTAACATCAGATCCTACAGAAAAAGGTCAGTGTTGAGTATGTTCCTATACATGTTTTTTAATATTATCTCCTTGGTCATTTAAAGAAGATTTATTGTCTGGTTGGATATAAAAAAAAGGGTTAAATTGACCCAAAAAATTTTTGTATGGTCATTACTGTTTAATCATGTAAATAATCCTGGACAAACATATTTATGCAAGTATGAATTGTTGTTAGTAAATTGAATTCAATTATAGTAAAAATATTTGTTAGATATATTTTAGCATTTTATTTTAATTTATGTTTTTCTTCAAAATCAAAGATTTTTTTCTTTTCTTTTGTGGTGGTACTGAAATTAAGGTGAATCTTAGAATCAAAGAAATACTGTAGTTATTAAAGTTTTTAGCATTTCTAGGGAAATTATATTTTTAATTTATAACAATTGACATGATAATATTTTCGATATCTATTTTATTTAAAAGTAAAAAGATCTTTTATTTTATTTATTTTTTTTCTTCAGTAAATAAATGATGATTTTAGCCCTTATTTTTATCCTCTTATTCCACATTATTCACTACATTTATAAACTGAATTAATAAATCAGAATATCTTCCAGATAATTCACATTACCCATTAAAATATGTATTTTAGAATTAATGAGTTTTCATTTATCAAATAATTGTATGTCTTTTTTTTTATAATTTATATATTTAATGGATTAAAAAAATCTTCTACATACGATTAAATAAAAAAGAAAGCAAATATTAAGATGTAAATGCAAATCGGACATCATCGANTAATTATTTTTTTTCCTTTATTTTAGGGATCAATTCAAGGTCCTGAAGAATTTACAGAGGGTATTGTTAAAGGAGTACAAAGCTTATTAGGACATGTGAGGATTATTGATTTTCTAGAGTGATATATTTTTATTTAATTATGTGATCAAATTCTTATTGTATTAATATATCATGCAGTAATCTGTGTAATAAATCTCAATTAAATTTATAAAATATCAATAGAATGAATTATGAATTTGCATAAGGCATACCTCACTACTAACAGTGAATTATATTCCAAACCAATATATTTTTAAATGCAATAGCATTAGGCCTAAAAAATCTAGCAACATTTAAAATTTTGGTGATACTAACTGTTATGATATTTTATTTTAAAAAACTTTTAGTATTTTTAATTACTATAACATGGCAAAAGGCTTAATTTTGAGGGTAGAGATAAAAAGTTGTAAATGATAATAATGAGTAAAATCATTATAAGTCCAACTCTACTTGTGATATGACACACAACCCCTTTTATGTCCCCACTTCATCAATCTTTAACTCCCAAAATTTTATAGCATCAATTCTCTTAATACAAAAACTTCCCTGTAAAATTTCAAAAATTTTCAACAAAAAGCACAGGAATTATTAAGCTTTAAAGAGGGTGAACAAAATCATGCTACACACATACACACACTAACATCCGTACATACGAAAAAAAACCCCAAACTTTTTGTATTTTATGATATTTCAAAGTCCCAAGTCCAAAAATGTAAAAATCTTGGGAGGTCATTTTTTGACCGATCACCATAATTTCTCTCTGTTATATATAGCAGAGTCAGGAAAATAAAAATGATGGAAAGTTTAAGTAAAATACCTCAAAACTCCTCAAGAGCAATGACAACAATTGAAAATAACAAACATGAATATAATTGAGAAGTGCTATCTAAAGCAAAGCACTATAAAACAAGATATGCCTATTTTAGTTTTTAGGTTTTTAACCATAAAATAACTTAGTTTTATTAATTAGTTTTATTTCCATTTTAAAAATTGATACAGTTGACTTTCAATAACTCAAAGCAGAAAAGATACAAAAGAATTTTTGAGTTAACAAAATTTTAAATTATGAAAATTACTAATCCACAAAAATCCAAATAACCAGCAGAAAAAAAAATTGGGAAGTGCTAATGTTTTCACCTGTGTTGAACAGGCATTCTCAGGCTAACTGATCCCACAGCTGTTGAAACAACAGGGGATTGCCATACATGTGTGAAGAGGGGAGGCAACATAAGAAAGAGAGAGGGGGAGGAAAGTAAGTTTATAGTTCAAAGAAAGATTTCCATGCTGTGTGGAAGGAGTCTACATCACAAAAGTTAATAGTGGTATTTTTGTGGACAGCCTTATAAATTTCAACTTGCTCTAGATGTCTAAGAAAGTGTTGCCAGGAAAAGTTGCATAAGAGGCATGCATCGTCAAAATACACATCAATGTTGGGGTTGGAGGCAAAGATAGTTAACAGTGCTGGCCAAACCTTTCAGGATGGAATTCCTATGTACTTTTAGGCAGGTGTTTAAAGGGTGTGTGTGTTGTAGCACCTATGTATTTCAAGATGTGGTTGGATCTGTGATCAGTAATGGTGATGGTGTGGATGCCTGGTTGGAGGTGCTTGTTGAGACAGTCTTTAGCATGGCAGAGGGGGTGAAAACTAAGAAACTTCTATGGAAAACTAAATGAAAATTATTATGAATGAGCCACCCTCTACATAGAAATATCCAGGAAAAATAAATTTTGTTTAGTCTTCCATAGAAGGCTAAAGGAATATTTTAGAATGCTAATTTAAGAATGCAAAAAATCTAAGAATTTAGATTTTTTGCATTCTTTACCTTTCATATTTTAGAGGGCTAATTTTGTTTAGTCTTCTATGGAAGGCTAAACAAAATTATTTATCCTTTATATAAGATTGATGTCAATGATTAATTGGTTCTTGAATTAACAATGTCCTTGAAGCACTCAATAACTTTGAAACATGACATATGATGACTTATAGAAAACATGTTTGAAAATTTTAAAAGAGAAAACTATCTACATAATTTAATTGGTCAATTCATATTTAAGAAAACACAAAGAATTTTAAATATGAAACATTCTTAGATTTTTCTATACTTTTGTGACATAGTTTTGTAAATGCTAACATATTTTAAGTAACTTTAGTATGTGTCTTCAAGTGTGTATAATTAAATGTTAATTTTTATTTCAAATTTGTCTTAATATAATCCATTCCCTTAAAAATATAGCATCAAGTATACAAAATTAGACATAAATAAATTCACTGAAATCCTAGACTTCAGTTTAGTGAAACATGCTGTCAAAACTGTTTGAACTTATAGATGCATAAAATGCATTGAATTTATGCATTGAGATAAAAATAAAATTTAAACTTAGCAAGAGATTTAATTTAACAAAGTTTGAATTATCAAGAGTCAAAGCTATATACAAGAACTAAGTTAAAATTTTGCATTTTATAGCTACAAATATGAAAATATAATTATTTTTTTTCCTTTATTTTAGGGATCAATTCAAGGTCCTGAAGAATTTACAGAGGGTATTGTTAAAGGAGTACAAAGCTTATTAGGACATGTGATTGGTAAATATTCAAAATATGTCTATTGATAATACAAAAATTTTTATATAATGTATTTTTTCATTATTATTTACAAAGAAAATCAAACTAGAATATTTTGTAGTATGCATAATATAAGGCCTAAATATAAAATAGACATTTTTTGCAAAGAATAAAGCATTTCCTCCCTCTAGTTGTAAAATAGAAACAAACTTTTACTGTTAAGTTACTGTTTTTTCGCTCCATGGGTTAAGGGTGAAAAGAAACATAAAAGAAAATGAGAAATTTGATCACTTCATGTATCACGTACTGTAATTGTTAATGTGAGATTCGGAATTTCTACCGATTATTTTGCCGTATTTGCTTAAAATCTAATTAAATCTTCCTATTACCCTAAAGTGAAACCTAACGGAAAAAAAAACTTTTCGTTTACATTCGACATAAACATCCGTTCAATTCGAAACTAATCCCACATTCCTACGCCAAAGTTGACAGTTAGCATGGTCCCGGGAACAACTCTGACCCATCTACATACCTTTTACCTCACAACAATCAATCACGTGACCATTCTCCCACGCCGAACTTATAAAAACCCCTTCCTTCCCCTTCTCGGGGGAGTCGTACCAGAGCAGGTGCCGGAAGAATACCAATTTCCAATAGTGTCCTTTTTGTCTAGTGAACTTCCCTAAATCCAGGATTCGAATAGTTAAATAGTGACCTTTCCTACATCAGTGAACTTTCCTAGAAGAGAAATTTTCCTAATTCAACGAGTCGCTTGGATAACAGATCAAGAGGTATGGAACCAATTATTGTAAGCTCTCTCTCGGTCTCCCCGCGTTTTAGGGACGCGAACTATACGTTGTATTACTTGGTTTAATAAATTGTTACGTTTTCTTATGTTATATCTGGCCTCCTCGTTTACTCGTATATCGCCTGTCGTCTCACCGACGCGCTCCTCCCTCCACCACTCGACCCGTTACAACGGGAAAAAGAACCCTTCAACCACCCATCCTGACAGTGAAAGGGTTTAACAACCTGTTGCCGGATTGGGAGACCTACCCCCTTCCGGTGGTTTCACATTAAGGAGGATAACACCAAGTTTTTAAAACAAATTACAAAGTCACATCATTACTGCTATTTGAATTACATAATCATTTAGACAGAGAGGTGTTTCTATTCACCCCAAATTATAGTAATCTTTATCATTTTCAAAATTCAATAATTTAAAATCTAATAACTTTTCATGTAAAGGTAAGTAATTGTACTGTTATCTGATATAAATATTAATGTTTAGAAAATTCTAGATTCAACCTTGACAGATGGGATTTGCTCTAATATATATGTACTGTATATACATTTTGTGGTTTTCATGTATAAAAAATTATTAAATAGAAATAGAATTTAATTAAATTAACATGTCTTTTAGGAGGAACTGCAGGATCAATTTCTTTAATCACTGGATCATTAGGTCAAATATTTTCCTTTTTTTCAATGGATGAAGATTATAGAAAAGTAAGTTATACATTTCATAAAATACTATAATTGAAATATTTGATTTGTTGATTTGTAAGATTGTAAAAGTATTTTTATTACATAGAAACGTCGTTTAAGAATTCAACAACATCCTTCTAGTCTTCCAGAAACTTTGCTTATTGCTGGTAAAGGATTTGTTCTAGGAGTTGCTTTAGGTCTTTCTGGTGTTATTGTTAAACCGATTGTAGGTAATGAAGCCATTTTGAGAATTATACTTTAAGTCTTTGAAAATTATTGAAATTTTTGTCATTTTTTATTTAATTTCAGTTTTATTGTAATTTAATTTGTATGTGTATGTATTGGATATAATAAACTATTTAAATAATAGAACTTTTTAAGCATAAGTGAAAATAATATAACTTTGTTAAATAAATATGGATTATTGAATGAAATGTCCACTGCATTACAGTGAATTAGACTTATAGTATTTATTTAGATATTTGTCTAATGTAGCCTGCTTCATTGGTTTTGTTATGTGGAAAAAAGAAAAAAAAATGTTTATCATAAAAACTCACAAACAAAACCACAGATCTACATAGGTGTATAAGCTTAAATCCGCTGTTTTTTAGTCAGAAAAACACACGTTTTTTTCTTAGAAAGCAAAAACAAATTTATTCAAAGTACTTTCCCTCACTAGTGACACATTTGTTCCATTTCTCGGGCAATGTGTGGATACCATGCCAAAAAAATTTCTTCTCTTNTTCATTTATTCAAAAAACGGCAAAACAGGCTAACTAATAGCAAAAGGAGTCTGCTCTAGCTCTGGGTCCTTTACGAGCTTTTGATCACTTTACAAATACTGTATTAAAACTTGCTGGAAACTTAAACACTTATCAATACATGAATGAAACTGTTGTCAGAATTTGCTGTTTGCATATGGAAAAAGAATGTACAAAATTTTATGTTATTACATGCATGACTTTGGGCTACTTTGAACATGGATTATACAAACGTAATTATCTGGAAACAGCAATTAAATTCATTTATGGTAAGGATTTCATTTAATTAAATAGGAAATTTTCTTGAACAGAAACATTTTCTATGGGAAAAATTTACACATCTCTTATGGCAAAAAATTGGAATTTTTGAATTTAAACTTCTTACACAGGTAAACTTTTAATGAGGGAAATTTTTTAATCAAGTTCTACTGTTTATATACTTACATCAATGTGAAAAATAATTTATTTAATCTCAGTTCTATTATTTAAATATATCTTTTTAGTAATTTTCTGTTATATATATGAGCCATTTATTTTGAAAATGGGGCAAGTCCAATTTTTGTTATTGTGAGATATTTAAAGGTTTGCATTTCAATAAATTTAAAAATATTGGTAAGTGTTAATAGATATATTTTTAATATTTTGTGGTACCGGATAATGTAAGTTTATAATCCAATAGTGTTTACAGTGCTGACTAAAAAAAGTAAGAGTTTCATTATAACTAAATGGACTTGCCTCACTTTCAAAATTAATGAATTATTGTAATCGTTCATTTAATTGGGAATTTTTTCAGTTGCATCAGCCTTTTTTTAATAATAAAAACAAAATACTATTCAAATTTTTATAAATATTTATTCATTTGATAAAAAGTGAAACAAAACAAAGAATATTCTAGTAGAAAATATAACATAACAAAAAAAATTCAGTTTTATTAAGAATTTCAATCAAATTATACATTTTCAGTTTATACGTAGGTATAACTAAATGAATTTTATTCAGGATTTAACATTTTAAAATATTCATGATGAACGGGAAGTATATATGATAATAAATCCATCGTGTCCTTGTATTTTTCAGATGTAGGCTAATAGATCTCCTTTTTTCATACAGAAACGATAACTTTATATTTCTGAAATTACTTGTTGTGGTGACAAATCGATAATTTTAAATTCAGCATCTCGTTCTATCGAAGTTTTGTAGAACATTTTGTATGGTGCATCCCTTGTAAATCTGATCCAGCATATATTTAACCAATTCACGGTTTCTCCATCGGTATTTTTGTTTCTTTTTAAAACTGCTTTCCCCAGAGGTTGGGTTGAAAAAAAAATTTTGCGTTTTATTTCATGTACTAAAAATTTATTATGTTTTCGACAATTTCGTATTA